TTAATTTTGGTGGAGGACGGGCACGTGACAGCGCGACGGAGACGACAATGTGTGGGAGCGAGCGCGATACATATTCCTTTCTCACTCAGGGGGGGAATAAATATATATAATCGAACATTACTATAGTAAAAAAAAAACAAAATCTGCACAATTATTCAATAGAATCACTGGAAAACTATAGAGTTTTCCAGCGACAGCGCTGGGATTTTCTATGAATTTTTTCACCTACGTGTCAATGATAAATATGTCGAGAAAAAGGAAAAGACTTTTAGATCATTAGATTGTGCATTCATTATACTATTGATTATAATATGTTCGATTTTACATTCCTGACAATTATTACAAAATGCGAGGAGCTACCGTATTGAGAACCCCTTTCCGGTTATCGACAAATTTATGCTCGGGCCCTATCATACCAACAGTTCCGTACGCTCCATCGTAGTCCATGCGCGACCGCTACGATTTTTGTTGTTGAACACTTTACATTGGCCCTGTTCATCTCCCCTATAATCTCTGATTACTATAATCTCTGCTTGACATATTCAAAGATTGCTCTGTCGGTAAATAGGTAACCATGGATCTCCAGCGAAATGTCATGCACCTTTGCATCGTAGCACTGATAATTTTATTCAATTTATGATATTTTCTGGCATTTCTCTGGATTTTTTCTCAACGAATGATAAATTCATAATTCTCGACCAACCAAAAGGTACGTCTTTGGAAATATTTCACATAATAAACAAATTCTCGTTACACTCTTCTACTTTTATGTCACGTGCTCATGTCCCTCGTGGAACCATCAGAGATACACACGAGAACAATGCGGATGAAAATAAATTTGAATAACACTTTCATAAGATACAAATGCTCTGACATAGTAAACAACAGTGGTGAACAATATTTTTATCCTGGGAAGAAAGTTTCGAAAAAGATAATAAGAGTTAAGAGAGTGACCAAGGCGGTGGACACGAGTGATTTAACCTCAAATATTACGGATATCAAAAGGATAAGAAATCCAGGAATTGGTTTGAATGAAAATGTTGATCATGATGCCGCAAAAGAAAATAAATTGAAAAATTCAATAAATAAATTCAAACCAAAATTTATTCCTGAGAATTTGAATGATATTTCACTCTGGGATGACGATGGGATAGATACAAATTTTGGAGCCATTAAAATCAATAAAAATGAAAAAGAATATTCTTCGGAGAAAAACGATGGGAATGTAAATAAAAAAATCAAACAGCAAGCCCAACAAAATAATAATGCAAACAGTGGACTAAAGATTGGAACAGAAACTCGATTCAATGAATTGAACATGCAAATGCTTTCGAAAAAATTGCACGAACAAATCTTCATTAATTCAGGAAAGAGCATAGACTTGTCCAATGAAAAAATCTCATTTTTAAAACACGAACTGAAGAGATTCGGAATGGAGGTAGACGAAAGGGTCTATATGCCAGATGTATCCATTGATTTACCAGCTTTGGAAGGGAAAAATGTGGAGGAACATTTTTACAGTATTGCAAGTGCTCAGTCAAAACCGTATTTAACGATAATTGAAAACATCCTCCAGAAGATTCCGTCAATTCCAAAGGAATGGTTGCTGCAGGAAGGGTGGACACGGTATGTTTATATCTTTCAATTGTAGAGGAACTTCTGTAAGTTAAAACCCCCTGAAACCTCTGAATTGTAAACTTTTATATGTTGTTTATTGATTTTTCGTATGCAAACAACCCAAAGGTCATGCTTCAATACCGACGCAGAGTTATTTGGACAAAGGAACCTATTACACACAATGAAGGCTTGCCGTTCTTTGACACATATAATGTTTTGCATGAAGACATTTATGACAAACATGAATGCATGCATAAATGCATAAGTTTCTCCTCACATTTTGGAGAAACTGTTGGTGTCCCCCTGAGTTTTTTCTGCTCTTTTTTCTGTTACAAAAAAAATTTCAGTTTCTCCAAAATTCGTCTAATTAAAATTTTGAGTTTTTATTTTCCTCTTTTTAAACTACTCAAGGATAACTTTTTCGTCAGGGGTTTTTAATTTTCAATTTTTCTGTTTTTCAATTTTTAAATAATTTTCAAAACCTGTTGCTCGCTGAATGGCAGAGATAAAGCACAATATGGCTTGTAACATAAAAACTTACAACAGTGTTATTTCGACGAAATCATTCAATCAATCGCATTATTCACCATTTTTATCATTTCAGATATTACAACGGCACAACTGAGAAAGTCGATTACCCCCTAGAAGATGGATTGATTTTCGACGTTGAGGTGTGTGTTAGAGAGGGCTCCTTACCGACTTTAGCTACAGCAGTGAGCACTGATGCATGGTACGGCTGGGTCTCCAAATCCCTGGTAGGTGGAAGTAGCATACCAGCAGAGAGTCGTTCCTTCACGCCTGAATTACTGATACCCATTGAAAGTACAATAGTCGAGCATGGAAAAAAACTATCTGATTACCAAAAGCGTCCAAAGATCATTGTGGGGCATAACGTTTGTTATGATCGAGCACGAATCAAAGAACAATACTGGTTGAACTCAACAGGCACACGTTTCGTTGATACTATGTCTCTACATATATCTGTCAGTGGAATGAACAGTTACCAAAGATCTATATTACTTTCCCGGAAGAGCGAGCCAACCAGTGACGAATTCTTGAACTCCACTTCTCTCAACAATCTGGCTGACGTATATTCACTTTATTGTGGCAAACAGCACCAGAAACAAGCGAGAGATGTCTTTGTCAGAGGGAGCCTTATAGATGTTCGAGAAAAATTCGATGAATTAATGAATTATTGTGCTTCTGACATTGTGGTGACACACGAGGTGCTTCAAAATCTATTCCCCCTCTTTCAAGAGAGATTCCCTCACCCTGTGACTTTCGCTGGAATGCTTGAACTTGGCACTGCTTACTTACCCGTCAGTTCCAATTGGCAAAGATACATTGAAGAGTCTGAAGCGACATTTGAGGACTTGAACTACGAGGCGAAAGTGAGTTTATCTAAGAGAGCTGATGAGGTTTGCAAACTCATGCACAACGACAAATATAAAGAGGATTTATGGATGTGGGATCAAGATTGGAGTACACAATCGGTAAAAACGAAAACAAAATTGGCCAAAAAAGCTTTAGAAGATATGGAGAAACAATCCAATCAGGAAGAGGCACAACCATCAGATTATGAAAAATATTTGACTGATGATGAACATGAAATCGATCCTCTGGAAGCTGAATTCTCCCACTTGAAAGATACAAAGTATCTACTCCCTGCAAAGTTTCCGCACATGTCAGGCTATCCCGCTTGGTATCGTAAACTGTGTATGAAGCAACATGAAGAGAATTGGATTGTTGGGCCCCAAAACATCAGCACTTCAATGAAAATAACTCCCAAACTATTAAATTTAACTTGGGAAAACTATCCGGTTCACTACATAAGAGATCACGGATGGGGTTTCTTGGTACCATATAATGATCATCTTGACGTCAATACGCAACTCCCCCTGAAACAATTGCTCACCCAGTGTCCTTTACCCACAAGACCTTTCGGTCCCCAGGATGCCAGTTATGCAATGGCCTCTCTCCAGAAGGATGTACAAAATGAGCTCCATAAGATAGAATTGTGGAGAGACAAAAAACGGAAGCCAAAGAAAAATGATGGAGAGCCTGAGGTATTCTATAAAGGTACTGGTATCTGGTGTAATGTTGATATTGATAACTGTTGCTGGTTCTTTAAACTGCCCCACAAGGATGGACCCAGTCTCAACGTGGGAAATCCCCTGGCCAAAGATTTCTTGAACAAATTTTCAGAAAATATTCTCGCTGGTTTGGACTCAAGTGCAACAGAAGTTCTGAAAATAGCGAGAATAGTTTCATACTGGAGGAATAATCGCGACCGGATAATGTCACAGCTGGTCATCTGGTGGAATGCCGAAAGTTTACCATTATCAATTATTCGAAGCCACCAGCACACTAGTTACGGTGCGATAATCCCTCAGGTCGTAGTGAGTGGCACTCTAACGAGGAGAGCAACCGAACCTACGTGGATGACCGCTTCTAATGCACACATTGAGCGAGTTGGATCCGAGTTGAGAGCTATGGTTCAAGCACCACCGGGTTTCAATATTGTAGGAGCTGACGTCGATAGTCAAGAGCTTTGGATCGCTTCGTTGATTGGTGATGCCTATTGTGCTGGAGTTCATGGAGCTACACCCTTTGGTTGGATGACACTTATCGGAAGTAAGTCGAAGGGGACAGACATGCATAGTGTGACGGCAAAGGCCGTGGGAATCTCTCGAGATCACGCAAAAGTTATAAATTACGCCAGAATTTACGGGGCTGGGGTGAAATTTGCCGAGAGACTTTTAAAACAGTTCAATCCATGCATGGGGGAGTCTGAGGCAGTTTCGAAAGCGAGAAAAATGTTCAGTATAACAAAAGGAAAAAAAATGTATCGACTCCGGGTACAATTCATCAATGATGATGTTGAGGAGCGCGATTATTCTTCATGGGAGGCTTATCAATTGGCCAAAGTTCATGGGAAGAAAGTTGAGGAGATGTTTGGGCCCACCAAATGGTGTGGAGGTTCTGAGTCAGCGATGTTCAACAGACTAGAAGAAATTGCAGATAGTCTTCACCCAGTGACCCCATTCCTTAGCTCACGACTCAGCCGAGCTTTGGAAGTCGCAGAGGAGCACAAAGACAAATATCTGCCCACCAAAATTAACTGGGTTGTACAGAGCGGTGCTGTTGACTTTCTCCATCTCATGCTTGTCTGCATGAAATGGTTAATGCGTGACAACGCTCGATTCTGTCTCTCCTTCCATGATGAAATTCGATATATAGTACCTTCACGATATAAGTACAATGCTGCCCTAGGAATGCACGTTACAAATCTACTCACGAGGTCTTTCTGTGCCTCGACACTTGGCATTAACGATTTGCCGATGTCTGTAGCATTTTTTGCCTCTGTCGAAGTGGATTCAGTTCTCAGGAAGGAATCCACTATTGACTGTAAAACTCCTTCAAATCCCCATGGACTTGAAAACGGATATGGCGTGTCTCCTGGAGAAAGTTTAGGTGTGTGGGAAGCCGTGGAAAAATCTGGAGGATCACTTGGCCCATGGCACATGGCGCAAATGAGGAAAAAAAAGTTAGAAGTAGAACAGGATAAAGTTGAACAATTTTAACGAGCGAAGCACGTGAAATAAAAAAAATCATAATGAAATTCCCTTCAAAGAGTCATGAATCTCGTACCTAATTTTTGTTTCGCACTCAGCGGTGCATACGAGGGACGAAAAATATTTCGAGTTTTATTTATGATTACTAGGTTCAACAAAATGTCAAAAGCCACGAAACGAAAGCAGGTACAGGAAGACTTGAGTATTCCTACGGAATCGCAAACGATAGTACAACTTGTCGATGCACGAGGTAATAATCTTCACGAAGTGATGGAACACTCCGGGGAGCGCTATCTCGTCTCTATGCCAATGAAATTCAGAAAAAATATATGGGTCAAAAGAGGCGATTATATTCTCGTCGAGCCAATACCCGAGGGCGATAAAGTTAAAGCAGAAATAGCAAAAATACTTACAAAAGTATGTAGTCTCATTGAAACATGTTTTTTTTTCACTCTGTGTACAGCTGAATACAAATGAGAATTTTTATTTTCTAGGAGCACATAAATTATTATCGATCGGAGGGGTGTTGGCCAAACAAATTTGATGATTCGGATCAACTGAGCGAAGGAACGAATCAAAATGAAAATGATTCAGCAGGGGGGGAGAAGGATATTTTTGTGAATACTAATCGTAGAATTCCAAATTACGGTTGTTATGCTGCATATGATGGTTCCAGTTCAGAAACTTCCGATTCAGAGTGATGGGTGTACTTTAGTGGAAAACAGTGCACCCTCATTCAATTGTTGTTATTAGCATACGATATTGTGTAATGTTGTAGGAGTTATACGATCGTGATAGTTTACTGAAGCTACATTTCTGCCATTGTAGAGGAATTTAGGGTGGAATGGACGCAATTTAAAAATGGAATTGGAAAGGGAGAATTAGAGAATATGAGGAGTAAATCTGACATGCTTACATTGTTTTGTTTTTTCTGATTTCATTGAAAAATTAACGTCGATTTTATTGCATTATATATCAATAAATAATTATCATTTTTCTACTTTTGAATTATATTCAAATTCATAGTTAATTTCAAAAGAGGGAAGTGTAGGTCTAACAAACATAATTTTTTTTTTATCGTCATTTTACATCGCTTCGACCCGGTTGGGGTATACTGCGATGATGATCAAGACTTTAAATGGTTAGATCGCACCATTCTACCCGGCCGGGATTTGAACTCGGAATTTTCGCATGTGAGGCAATGAACTTACCCACTCCGCCAAGCCACCAGGTAACAAAAATAAAAGAAACAAGAACACAAATTTAGTATCCAAGCTTCACATTAATCTATATAGCAAAGCTGAAAATGGTTTCAAGAAAATAGATGCAGTTCAATGTAGTCAGTTTTCTTCCTTACACTATGCATTACTGAGAATTTTCTTCTTTTCCTTTCAATATTGACTCAACGGACTCGTAAGTGATGGCTTTCGATACGAGTACAGAGAAATACTGTATTGAGTCCGATAATCCTTTAATCTCATCTCACAAATGTCGGACAATCTTTGCAATAATATGATGGCCCACTTTATTCCATTCTCAATAGAATTTGAGATTATTTCGACACGTAGCAATTTTCATTCAATCTTATTTATGACTTGTGAATGTATTTTCAGTAATATTTTCATTTGTGTAGTACCGTTATTTAAATCTGATGTGTATTTTACCCGACTTTTCATGTGGAAAAAAATTCGAATCTTTTTTTCATAAAACGAAGGGATAACAAAAAACTATGGTTTTAGTATAGAACCACTGTGGTTGTTATGGTTTCCATCGTCCTTCAATGTGTCCTCAATAAATATTTAAATTTCGTTACGTACGAATGGGAAATAACGTAATGGTCCATTCGGGCGGATAACAGCATCTCAGGGGTCTTTTAAAACATAACATAATTGAAACATATAGCAGCATAAATATATACAATATATCTGATATTGGGTAGTAAGGATCATTACTTTGTAAACGTTGCCTCTTTTTTGGAGCCATATTGAAAAGTTTTTCGCTAGTATTATTGTCTATGTAAAAATTATGAGCTGAGTTTGGGCGCCCTAGGGGTCATTGAATCACAAACTATATGGTTTATCACTAACTCATTTCCATGCACGGAAAATTAATTCATTCAATTTATATTTCTACTGAGTTTAATTTCTGATTTCGGATGCTTTACAAGGACTTCAATTTCCGTTTTTACTAAGATAAAAGTGGGAAATACATTGTGGAAATGGTTTTAATTCACTAAGTAATAAATTATGTTGTATTGAAGGTATCATCGAATTACATTCGTTTCCTTTTATTTGCAATACCTCGTTATGTTTTTTTACCGTTATTTTTACAATCGCTTCGACCCGGTTGGGGTATGTTGCGATGATGATCAAGACTTTACGTGACTATTCGCACCAATTACTGGTGATGTACGGATAATGTACGGGTCATACGGCTAATCTACGGGTGGCCTTTCGGTTCAGCCTGAAATACGGGGTAAAAATGTCTTGTACGGATTAATGTACGAATCAAAAACGACCACTGCTAAGTTATCTGAACTGAGTCATATTGTCTAGTTGAATTATCTCACGGGGTACATCTGTATGGGCTCGTCATTTTATATGGAAATATTGGATACCACTTAAATACTGAACTTAGATTCACGTAGCTGCATTTTCAACTTGAAAAAAAAAATGGAATAATTTTTAGAAAAAAAAAAGAATACGTACGAAAGGAAGTTGCTCTTCCTTTTTCTAACATAATCTCTGTCCGATTTGACCCATCACGGAAGAAAAATTTGATAAAAAAATCTAACGAATTGAATGGAATATTAGATTGTATTTCTCTTCAACTCCTATTGAAAACTCTATAATAATAACTATAGTTTATAGCTGTTCCTATGAAATAATTCCGCAGGTTTACAACGCGTTTTTCTAATAGAAAATGTCCAAGAGAAAGCATTTCATAAAGAAAATCAGTAGTATTTTATCTTTTGTAACGTGGTCTAATTTTTTCTGGGACAAAAATAAACGTTATCTCGCCCTTTTCCCTTGGTAAAGTCAGAAAACTGAAACTCGATGATTGTGGGCGCCAGTTGTTCTTTGTTTCGACGGAAACAGACCGAAATTAGGTCAAAGCGGAAAATTACAACGAAAACCCAAGATTCAAAAACACAAAAAACTTGAACTTAAGGGGCCAAGGAAAAGGTGACAGGGTGCTTGCGCTGCTCAGGGGGTCGGTTGTGGAGAGAAGAATAGGTCGAGGTGGAAAGAGGTTAGCGGGCTCTTATTCTCAAAAAAAAGGAAACACGAACGTTGAATTTTAATGCTGAAAAGTAGATGGCTATATTGTTCGTAAATTTACAGAAAAGATATGTACTCAAATTCACCGCAAAAGAAATCAACACTGAATAATCCATATAATACTGAACTCAATAAAAAGAACAAATTTTCGCCTAAGAGAGAGAAATACAAGATTTAAACAATGGCAATAAAAGAATGCACAATTGACTCGATAAATTTTGAGTAGACAAAGAACCAGAAATAGAGTCAAAATCAAATTAATTCTCTACTTCTATCCCTATAAAAATGACCGAAAACGCGACGGTAGACGCAAGAAAAATAATACCGAAAAACTGAGAACACGGTAACTAGACCAAGATCGGCATAAACAATCATCCCTACCGAATGAATTAATTCTAATCAAATCCCGAGTTGAACGCAATTAATAAATCTGAATAAGGCGCGATATACGTATCGAAATTGTACTCGCATTCCTAACACAATAAATTGGGATTCGCTTTAACGAAAGCATACGCAGTCAATACTCGAAATGTCGAATACGCCAAATACGGCACTCTATACTCAACGGTACTTGATCTTGAGTCCCTAACGGCCAGAACGGCACAAAATTTCTATATATGATTTCACTAAGGCGACACGAACACTCTAATACTTCGAAAACCATTGGAAAAAGCCGAATTTATAATCCACAAAATCAAGGCTCGAGAACGAATGGCGTAACTAGCAAAAATAAATACAACTTAACGAGTCGCAAATCCAAAGAAAACTAGGCACAACTGTACGCAAATGGAATCGAAAGTCAAAGCCGAAGTATTAAACACTAACGCTATAACCAGCATAATTTCCAAAGAAACAATATACAATGAGTCTAGACGATATGCAAATCGAAAACCTGTCGGCTAAATAATACAATAATTGTTGGCACAATACGGCATTGAAACAAATTAATTTCTCAAAACGAGATAAGTCACATAAGCGAAAGCTTCACAACTAGAAGCAACGGTATAGGCTCACTGTGAGCATTGGCCATAGGCAAGGGTGAGCACAAGGCTAGTCATCATTGATCTCTATACTAACTGGATTATCCAATAGTCGCTGGGAAATTTCGAACCAGATTGTTGCATTCAGGTCCGAGGCAAATCTCATCCAAGGGAAGAAAATGATCTGGATGACTAACATTAATAGGCATTACAAAAAGTTTGTCAATGACACATTTCTTCAAAAAGTTTCGTGCGATATTACGAATAAGTCGCTCACTACTGTCAGCCAATTTATGAAGCATGAACTGACGAGACTGAAAAAGAGCATTGAAAGAATTGAAAAAATTTAATGAATATTTCAAGAAAAGAAAATAGCCCTTTACACATTGATCGTCCAGGAATTTGTGTAAGTTCTGGGCTGAAGGTGAGTGCTCTTCCAGCATAGCTGATTGGAAAAATAATTTTAATGGTTCCCAATTTACGAGAATTCGCGTGACACTGATGCAATCACAACCATCGTGTGTTTGACAAACTCAAAATTTTCAATTTCTCCTCGCCAAAGAATGCTTGATATTTCTCTAATATCGCGCACCGCTTTGGACTATTCGAAAGATACATCGATGTACCTCGAATTAATTCTTCCGGCTCATTAGGCAATGCAATTCATTAGGATAAGATTGGGAACTTCTAATTTCAATCTCTGCGCGAAGGAATTTTTGACACCAACCATAACACTCGCGTTATCACAAGCCAAGCCCAGGATATTCTGCATTGGAATTTGTTTTTCGCGTAAAGATTTTTCGAAAGAATTATAGATTTTTTCTGCTGAGCAATCTGTTGGATCCAGTTCGATGAGATCTAAAAATTCTGTCTGAACCTGACCGTTTTCAGGCGAGACATCGCGCGAGAACACAAAGAACTTTTTTCTTCAAAATATCCGTGGTTTCATCAACAAGAATTCAAAATTTATTAACCCTCAAAACTTTCACAAGATTTTCGTTTGCGACTTTCCCCAAAATATTCTCAATAATGCTCGTGCACTTTGTTCGCCCCAGACAACAATCTTGCGCGATTTTACTATCCGGAAATGATCTTTTTAGCACAGGAAGAAAATGATCTACGAAAGATATGGGGACGTTGTGCTCTGCAACGCAATCGGACAAGAGAATTTCCGCGATTTTAACAGCTTTTTTATGCTCTGCCACAACACTATTGGAATTCCCCTCAAGAGCACTACCTTCATCACTAATTTTTTCATTCCCTCGGATGGGATTGGGCTTCAAAGCATTTTCTTTATGCTTTTCAGTCCCTGCATGTTTATGCAATTCAGATTTTCCGGCGGCAATCTGTTTCTCGCAAGCAGAACAAAACGCACTATTTGGATTCCCGTCAACTCTTTTCAACCACCCAGAAAATTCAGGTTCATTTTTCCATGATTCTTGAAATACTTTCCTTTTTTTCGATGCTGGAACATCGGAAGCTGCACGTCCTGAATCCCTCTCCTGGTCCACTTCGATCTCCATATCAAATTTTCAATTGAAAAGTATAAAAAAACCTCTAACACACTGCAGAAACACGGAATCACTCGTTGATGTCCGATCGCCTTTTGTCAGAGACTGAGTGAGCCAACGTAGCTCGTGTTTTGTTTTGGTTCTCATTGTTTTGATTTTTCAGTGTGGTTGGGTGAATGTCAACACCGAATATTACCGGTTAAAAGCAGAATTGAGCGAATGAATAAT